GGTTTAAGTTCCACTGCGGGTGAATGCTTCCCGTGCGGTTGTGCGGGTAATTAATGTGCGTGAGTCTTGTGCTTAAGGTGAGTGAGGTTTGTGCTTAATGTGCGTGAGTGTGTAGTGCTTAATGTGCGTGAGTTTTGTCCTTAAGATGCGTGAGTCTTGTGCCTAAGGTGCGTGAGTTGTGTGCTTAATGTGTGTGAGTGTGTACTTTAATGTGAGTTGTTGTTGAAACTTTAAAGTGCATGAGTTTTGTGCTTAAGGTGCGTGAGTTTTGTACTTAATGTGCGTGAGTGTGTACTTAATGTGAGTTGTTAAAACTTAAGGTTCGTGTGTTTTTGTGCTTAAGTTGCATGAGTTTTGTGCTTAAGATGCGTGTGGGTTGTGCTTAAGATGCGTGAGTTTTGTGCTTAAGGTGCATGAGTTTGTGTTCTGAATGTATTTTGTTTGTGTGTTTAATGTGCGTCTGTTGTGTGCTTAAAGTTCGCCATTGTAATGCTTAATGTGAGTCCACCCGCACGGGAAGCACCACCGCACCTGATCCCTTCCCCCATACATAATATTACCAATTATTCAATATTACCAATTAATAGATTTTAATTAATTTCCATTTACATTTACTTACCAAATAAGTTTTACCACAAAAAGTTTCGGGGGGAAATGAAATAGGAGGATTTTGTTTTTGTATATATATAGATACAGATATGGTAATATTTGATTGGATATTTGTATTTGATTATTAGGCAGGTTCCTTTTTAAATTCTTTGTAGGATCAACGAATTAATAAACGGCCAAGGTATATAAAGAATTTTATTACCACTCAGGAGGTGAACACTAGAAGGTGATATAATTCAGGAGGAAAAATAACATATATAAATAAGAGTTAGTAATATAAATTTAATTTATAAGTACACAAAGTATTTTTTTTTTTTACATTGTTAAGATGAGATTACATTTTTATTGAATTAAAATCTATGAGAGAGAATTATTTTTTAATATTGTCAAAATACATTTTTTTTAAAAAAAAAATTATGGAAAGTTAGTATCCGATATCTAGAGGTGTTCTCTAGGTGAAACCCACCTTGTGACCTAGAAGACAATCGACTACAATGAGGTAATTAAATCGGCCTATGTAGGTTGCTTATACTTTATTGGCTCAAACTAAGAAGACCAAGAAGCAACTCCTATCGAGAATCAAACTTGAAAGGTTGTAGTTATCAAGTCAACTATCTGACCAACTCGGTTGGGAACTTGGGGGTTTTCCAAAAATGCATTTATTTAACAATTACAATTGATGGTGTTGGGATACTTGGATTGGACATAGGTGTGGCATTATGTTAAATGAGCAATCCATGAATTATATTCATATTAAATTAACTCACATAATTCTCTAAAAGAGGTCATCATAATCATATTAACTAATTTGATGATAATACTCCTAGATTTAACACCTATTTAACATAAATCTTAACGGAGGATCATTTGTGGTAAAAAAAAAATGAAAATCATGTTCGTATTTTGGTCAAATTAAAATTAAAATCGAGAACTAAAAAGAGTACTAGTTCAATATTCTTTGGAGCATTTGTGGTATTAGCTCTATTTTTTTGGAAGTGTGAACATAATATGCCACTGAAAAGATTTTTGAGAGATTAGGGCCAAAGAAAATGGAATATGCTAGCTTTAAATCTAATGATTTATTTTGCTGAATGAATTAAATATTTATTAGTTATATTTATTTTGCTGAACACACGCAATGAATCGAATCCACTTGAAAATTGAAATCCAATCTCCATTATAGAAAACTTGCAGCGTGCGTGTTCATACATGCCATCAATCTCATTCTCTGTCAACAAATTTCTTCTTAGAGTTAAAGTGAAGTCCAGGGAAGATTTTGTTGGGAGACAGCAATTATTCTGGTCATTTTCACAAACAAAAAATAAAAAAAATAATGCAACATATATGGGAAAGCAAAGCCACTTTCCAAGGAACCACAACATCCTAACTTGCCTTGTTCTAGCTACAAACACAAAAAGGTGGCATGCCATATAATGGCTTTCCATTTTGTATTCTTTGTATTGGGAAACCCAATCTATACAAAAAGCATACACCTCACTGTAACTCTGCAATACCTGAAATTTATTTTCAGAAATTCTTTTCTTTTACACTCATTTTCTTTTTTTACTTTGTTTGATATTCCAGAATAATGATCAGAATTCTCCCCCCTTCACTTTCAAGAAACCAATCCTCTGTGCTGATTGCACTTCTGCAGGCTGCACCTCTTGGTGCCATGTGGGGACCATCTCAAAATTTCTACCACTTTTTTTTTTTTTTTTTTATTTTGGGTATAAAGTTTGGGAGATTTCAAAATTACCGTGCACGACATTCTAATTTCTAACCACCATTAATATTTTGTATTTTGTACTTTGGTGAATTATACATTATATTTATTTAAGGGTTAATTTCATCGGATGTCCCTTGTTTTTTGTGACAATTTCAAATTTAGTCTCAGACTATCGTTTTTGTCATTTTACATCCCAGATTATTGTTTTTTAGACACTTTTAGTCATTCTCATGGCTTTTTCTATTTTTAGAAAGAGCATTTTTGTCTTTTTTTTTTTTTTTGTTATTTTTCCAGTTTCAACTGGTTTAATTGGTTTAGGACTTTACTAAAAGTTGGTTGAAAAATACGGTTATTAAAAATCAGAGGTTACCTAAAGTTTTAAACCAATTAAACTGGTTGAAACCGGAAAAATAACAAAAGAAAAATATGAAGAGACAAAAATGCTCTTACTAAAAATAGAAAAAGTTATGAGAAGGACTAAAAGTGTCCACAAAATAATAGTCTGGAATGTAAAATGGTAAAAACGATAGTCTGAGACTAAATTTAAATTTGCCACCAAAGACAAATGACCTCTAGTGAAATTAACTCTTTATTTAATGTACTACTCTTTAAAAATAAAGTTCAATCCACTAATGCATGTCAAAATATATTACAAGGAGGTAAATCAACCTAAGTGTTCAAATAAAAATGTTAATAGTCAGCTTCCATATCCATATAGGCCCCGTTTGGTACTACTATTACCTGTTTGACTTAGTTAAACAACAAATATGAATGTTTGATTAATTAGTTTTTTTTTTTTTTATAAAAGTCATTCATATAATCAGCTATCAGCTAACAACTAATTTATCAAACATCTTTTTACAATCAGCTAATATTATCAATTAGTCAAACTAACTAATTCAATCAATTAACAACTATTTACCAAATACTCCCTAACGTGAATTATCCAGCTGAAAGTATATTTTAAAAATATATATTACATATAGATAAACTCAATATTTACAATAGCCAATAGTCTATCTATCATATTTTTAATGATTATATTTTGACTAGTTAAATAGAGTTTTTTCCTTGATAATAATGACATTTTAATTTTAACTTTTGATATTTGACTTTTATTTGTTCTGCTTTTGATATTTAACTTTTGTATTTTAATGTTAGTTCAGAATGCTTTTAAATGCAATAAAGCTAGGTTTGGTAAAGTTTCTGAAACTGATGTGGTTTTAGATATTTAGAATTAAAAATACATTGGTTTTAAAAGTGAAGTAAAACTTAAACAAATCAAAATTGGAAACAAAAAATAAAAATAGTATTATAGTTGGGAGGGTAAAAATGGAATAACTTCCTAGTAATTATAAATGATACTCATTCCATTTAATTTTATATGTTTAATTTGATTAATGAGACTTCTGAAGTTATTTACTATTCAATTTTTCATAATATTATGTTTAGTATTATTCCATAGGGACGCAATTCAAGTGTAGAGATGTTTCCAGTTGAAAGATAGGGTGAAATTTGAACCGTTGATCAAATCTAGATCAACGGTCCAAATCAATGATTTTTTTTTTAAAGGCGTGTACTTAGTAAAGAAGCAAACAGTAAAAATGCCTCACCTTATGTGCTACAAATACACACCTTAAAAAGAAAAACAAAACACCTTAAGAAGGAAAACCACACACCTAAAACTTTAGTTTAGATCGACGCACTTTAAGTTTCACTAACTGACGCACTTTAAGCACACAAATCGCGCACCTTAAGAAGGAAAAGCGCTCACCTTAAGAAGGAAAAACCACGCACCTAAAGCTTTAGAGTGACGCACCTTAAGTTTCAACAAAAACGCACCTTAAGTTCTCAACTGAAGAACTGACACACCTTAAACACAAAAACCGTGCACCTTAAGAACGAAAATCATGCACCTAAAGCTTTAGACCGACACACCTTAATTTCAACAACTGACGCACCTTAAGCACGCAGCACAGAAACCATGCACCTTAAGCATAAAAACCACGCACCTTAAATTTGACCTAGACGCAAAAAGAACAAATTGTCACCGTGTTTTTTTTTTTTTAATCTGTTTTCAATCTGCGTTGTTGATTTTGATTAGATCATGAGTTGAGATTAAACCTCATCTTTTACTTGAAGCCTATTACCGCGTTTGATCTCTTATCTACTCCCTAGTATATAAACTTTGTATATTAAAAAATTATATTAAATGTACTATTAAACACAACAAATAAAATTTAAAATTAATAAGAAAATATTTTTAAAAAATAAATACAAAAGAAAGAGTTAATTTGATATAATAGAATGTGTAAATAGGACAAACCAACAAAGGAGACTAGCTATCCCAACTAAGTTAGTCAGACTTTCTTGGTTTGAGACAATTAATTAAGTATGAAAAACTTAAGTTGATTTACTTCATTGTGACTCTTTACCTTCTTAGTTCATAAGGCGGAGTTTACTCCGTGCACACCATTAAATAACAATTACAAATTTTTCTCGTCATTAAAAAAATAATAATAAATAAGTACAACAATTGTAAAATATAAATATATAAGCAATCCATATAAAAGTTTGCCCATCCAATTGCCCTTTTATCTCTGGCCATTTTAGTCTCTAATGAATGTCTTCTCTGATTAACACTTCACGCCTAGAGACAGCAAAAAGATGGGAACAAAAAAAACAATAATTAAATGAGTAAATGGTTTTAAGCATGCTATTAGTTTAATACCATCCGCCATAACTCCATCACTACTACATGCCTTCCAGTTCCACTCCACTTAGTCAGCTGCATTTATATACCTCAGCTCCCCTCAACCCCCCACAGCTATCTTCATTCTCCATGAATTCAAAAGCAGTGGAAATGGCGATGGCTGCTTTCTTGTGCGTTGTTCTTTTTTGTTTTCTGGAGATTGGGTGTGCATTGCCGCCTCACCCAGACAAGATAATTCATTTGCCCGGACAACCTGAGGTGGGATTTCAGCAGTTTTCAGGATATGTTACTGTGGATAAGAAGGCGGAAAGGTCCCTCTTTTACTACTTTGTTGAGGCAGAAGTAGATCCAGCTTCAAAGCCTCTGGTTCTGTGGTTGAATGGAGGTACAAAAATAAATCTTTCTTTAATTTTGGGTCACCATTTCATTTCTGAGAAGCTAAGCTATATCTGATCTTCTGGGTTTTGTGAAAGATTAGAGCTTTAGTTTAAGTATTTATTATTATTATCTGCAATTGTTTGTTTGTTTGTTTGTTTGTTCAGGACCTGGGTGTTCTTCTCTGGGGGTTGGAGCATTCTCTGAAAATGGACCCTTCAGACCAAGTGGACAGTTTCTTGTTAAGAATGCCCATAGCTGGAACATAGGTATATATGATTAAATTACAAAAGCTGTGGGTGTTTAATTTAATGAGCAAAGAAATTATATATGTTTTGTTGAAACATGGCCTATATTGCAGAGGCAAATATGCTGTACTTAGAGAGTCCAATTGGTGTGGGATTTTCATATGCAAATGATACTTCCTCATATGAGACTGTGAATGATAAGGTCACAGGTATGTATGTATGTATGTATGTATGTATGTTTTAGTGAACTGCAGGCACATGGGGTTTCTTTCAATCTTTCTCAAAAGTCTTTTGCTTTCTTCTCTTCTCTTCTCTTTAGTACCATGTGCTCTGCATTTGTAAATAATTAATTAATTCTTGAATCTTGATTACCTGCTCTGATCAAAAGCAAAAGGCAACACAGAATATCCCATTGGATCAGGTTTCTTAGCTAAACAGTATTCAAATCCCCTATGTTTTTTAGGGCTAATAAATTGCATGATGGTTATACTGTGTAAGTTGTAAAGTTGAGAGTTTGCTTTTGATTTGTTAAGCCAGGGACAATCTGGTGTTCTTGATGCGCTGGTTCCACAAATTTCCCCAGTATATAAATAGCAATTTGTTCATAACTGGGGAAAGTTATGCAGGTACTTTTGCTATATGCTTGTGTGCCAAAAAGCTCTAAATTAAATAAACATTATTTCTTTTCTCATCACTTTTTGGGTTGATAACAGGCCATTATGTACCTCAACTTGCTAAGCTTATGATTGAATTCAACAAAAAGAAACCACTCTTCAATCTCAAAGGAGTTGCAGTAAGTTTCTTTCTGCCTCCTGATAGATATAATCATAGAAAGAAAGTTAAAGATTATGATTTGGGGTATCTCTAAGTAGGCGTTTATATATGTTTTGGTTTGGTTTCGCCTGCAGCTGGGTAATCCGGTTCTTGAATTTGCAACTGACTTCAATTCAAGGGCAGAGTACTTCTGGTCCCACGGTTTGATATCAGACTCGACGTACAGATTGTTCAGTGAAGTGTGCAATTATTCTCGGTATGTTAGCGAGTACTACAGAGATTCTGTGTCGCCCGCGTGTTCTAAAGTGATGCGCCTAGTGAGCAAGGAAACCAGTAAATTTGTGGACAAATATGATGTTACTCTCGATGTCTGCATTTCCTCCGTGCTTTCCCAGTCCAAGAGGATCAGTCCTCAGGTGAGTCCAGTCCATTTCAAACTAAGCTTGTTTCTGAGTGTTGAGCATATAGCCATTAATGTGCAATCCAACTATCAGCTTAGGCTTTTAGTTGAGATGGAGCACATGCTTCAATTCTGAGACCCCAGATTTTGATTAGGGCTTTTGATGACAAATGCTAGGAAAACGTGGAGAAGATAGATGTGTGCGTGGAAGATGAAACCGTGAATTACTTGAACCGAAAAGATGTGCAGAAGGCTCTGGGTGCCAGGCTCGTGGGAGTTCGTAGCTGGTCTGTTTGCAGCACGTAAGTCGTCTAATACCCAAATTTAGCACGAGATAATTAATCTGTTAGTTAAAGTTCAACCTTTAATATTGCAGGATTCTTGATTATGAGCTTCTGGACATAGAGATACCTACAATCTCGATTGTTGGATTGCTTGTGAAGCAGCGGATCCCAGTGCTAATTTACAGGTACTAAACTAAGGGTTTAACCAATCAATCAACCAAGATTCTGTTATCCTAGTGCTACTCTAAAACATAGTATGATGTGCTTCAAATGCATGCAGCGGCGACCAAGATTCTGTTATCCCGCTTACTGGAAGCCGCACCCTCGTCCACGGGCTTGCAAGACAGCTGAGAATGAACACCACTGTACCATACAGAGTTTGGTTTGCAGGACAGCAGGTGTGTTCAGCATATAGTCATTAATGTGCAATCTAACTATCAGCTTAGATTTTTAGTTGAGATGGAGCAATCTAACTCTATCAATTACGCCAAAAGCTATAGTTAATAGCGAAGACGCAACTTTATTTTCTTATACTATCACACATTCTTGAGACACTGAATGCTGAACTTAATTAACCCTTTACCAACCTTCATCCAACAATCCTACCGGCCTCCGCCCAACATATATATATAATAATGTGTTTTTGTGTGGTACTTTGTAGGTTGGAGGATGGACTGAAGTGTATGATAATGTTCTGTCGTTTGCAACCATCAGAGGGGCTTCTCATGAAGCTCCATTCTCGCAACCAGAGAGGTCGCTGGTGCTGTTCAAGTCATTCCTGGAAGGCAGGCCTTTGCCGGAAGTGTTCTGACACCAACAAATTAAACAATGCTATGATGGATGAATGGGGTAAATAGGCCAAAGGGTTGTAAATTCTGGAAAAAGGAAGAAGAAATTTGTGAGGGTGGAAATATAATGTAATCATCGTCAGGCCAGGTTGCAAGAAGTAGAAAAACTGGTTAATTGCCATCTACCAAGTATTTGATTGTTCATATTGCTTCTTCGCTTCTTGCCAAAGAGAAATCCTTTTTTTTTTTTTTTTAAAGTCTTATTTGTTATCTCCCAAGGTGTTAGGAACATTGTAGCTTAAGTTTTCCAACATAAAATGAACTTACAATTTAAAAGTTTGAGCACTCAACAATTAAATTCAGAAAACAAGACTAAGGAAGAACACAAGTTCTTTTAGAGGGGAAGAGCAAAAGTTCAGGGTGAGGAATTTTTAAGAGAGAAAATAATTTCGTAGTGTGTATTTTAAAAATCAATTGCTCAACTTAATATACATAAGAGAGTTGGTCAAATTAACAATTTACATGACATTAATCACTGATTTAAAATAAATTTTTGTAATATTCTTAATAAACAATTTAATTTAGAATTTAACATCCTCGTTACAAACGTTAACTTTCAAAGAATAAATTGAAATTAATAAAAAGTAATTCTTACCCGAACTATGTGGTCTAATGGTACCCAAGTTGGACTATCATTTGGAAGGTTATGAGTTTGAGCCTTAATGGAGGCGTTATTAGCTCTTTGTGTTTCAGTAGGTTGAGAAAGTATATGAACAGATACTAAGAAGAAAAGGAAAGCTATACCCGCACGGGTTTAGCTCAATAGTTGTGCCCTGTCTATTGAGTCACGGTGATTTACATTTTTCCATAATGTTTTATCGGGTCTGAATGTGGGGACCTAGGGATTCAAAAGGGAGAAGCAAAGGAAATGTATAATTAATTTCATCGAGAGGATATATTAACCTCTCATTCCGAAGTGGAATTCCACATTTCTAGTGGAATTGCCAAATTCCACCAGAAGGTGAAATTTACTTCCACCTTCTGGTGGAATGGCTAATTTCCATTGGAAGGTGGAATTACTTTTGATGGAGTACTGTCAGTGCCCCAACCTACACTTCTCATTTTTTTTTTTGGAGTGTCTTCTCGTCTCAATTGGAAAAGTGTAGTTCGTAAGTTTAGTATAACGTAGCCCAATCATTATATAATTTTTGTCAACTCAAATATGTCTATTTTGAGACTCAATTTATCATTCACTCATTATTTATTTTAAACTTACAATATATCGTTTTCTTCGTTGCACTTACAAGCACTTGAATCCACTTTGATCTGACTCAAATTGAAAATATACCCGATATATATTTGTATCACAAAATAACCACTTAAAACGTCACTATATGCTGAAATTTCCAACAATCTCTCACATTAATGAAAATTGATCTTTGGGAGTAATTAAAAACAACACGATTGTGTTCAACGGTCAATCCTTATATATGATAGGTAGGCGTTATCCTTTGAACATTCCCTTGTAAAGATATACAAAATATTTACTTTACTGGGACGCAATGTACTGCCCCGAACTCTGACTCATTTCTTTGTGGACTTTTTTTTTTTTTTTTAAAAAAAAAAAAATACCAATAGATTTAATTTTAATACCAATCGATTTAAACTCTAAATGGGTATTACTAACTTTGGTTCATCAATGAGGTGTTGATTGAGATATATAATATCTACTAAATTTAATAAGAGTCAATAAAGTTAGGCCTATAATGAGAATTACAAAATGTTGGTCCAATTGTTTGTTGAAATGAATTGTTCCAATTATGGACTAATTTGATCCATCGATCTAGAATGATCAATGGTAAAAAATGACGGGTCAATTATATAAATATTAGTATAAGGGAATCAATTTAGTGATTTCATGCATGCATCTATTTCTTTAATGTAACAAAACTAATTAGATTGTAAGGTGTAAGATGCTTTAGAAAATATCTTCATTTTTAAAAGTAATAATTGTGTCATTTATTATAACATTCAAAGAGAGGGGAGGAGAGGGGTGAGAGACACAAAAACAAATGAGCAAGAAGTTATCATATCTTTCTTGAAATTCATGTGCACAGTGTAAGAATTTCCACCCTAGATGAGTTGTCAAAAGTTTTCTAAGCATTGGTTTAAAGTCTGCCTACAATAAATTTGATCAATTAAACATCACCTTTTTTTTCTTTTTTTTCTTTTTCTTTTTTTTGAAAAAAGGTTCATCTTATTTATAAACAAAACGGGGAACCGAACAGAGTCTCGCCAAGGCCCAAAAGTGACCAAGGCACCAGAAAAGAAAGGACAAGGCCCAAAGTGACCAAGTCAACAAATAAAACAAGAAGGACAAGGCCCAAAAGTGGCCAAGTCTACAAATAAAGCAAGAAGGCCTAAAGGCAAACAAGTAAAGGAGAAACTCTAAACTACAAAGTGGGCCCAACACCCATACTGCAAACAACCTGGTACTGAGTGAAAGCTAGACAATTCCCGGGCGTCATGCCCTACACTCAGGGTGGGAACGATGCTCCAACAAACTATGACGAACCAATTCCACCCTCAAGCGTCAGGTCGGTCCCCCGCGGTACAAAGCTCTGCATTTTTATCCGAGGGGACCTATATGACCATCCACAGAAGCAATGAAATCAGCCGCCAAACCCAAACCACCCTCATGCGTTGGATAGATCCCTGCCGGTACAGATCTCTGCATTTTTATCCGAAGGAACCGTGAATAGTCCGCCACATGAGCAATGGTACTCACCTCCACCCACCCTTGGAACCCAGGCCACCCCCGTACGTACAGACCTCTGCATTTTTATCGCAGAGGGCTTCAACGACCCAAGGTCCCAAGCAATGGCTCCCTAACCACTGGTGCCAACATATATACCACCCTCAAGCGTCAGGCCAGCTCCCACGGTACAGCGTACTGTATTTGACCCGAGGAGCCTATATAGCCATCCACAAAAGCAATAGCATATATGCTAAGTACCAGAACCCACCTTCTCGTTCATCAATTTTTACCATTTCTGTAGTGAAATCAATGCATCAAGAACAAAAAAGCGTCAATGAATATAATCACCTTACTTTTGGGTCTGCATATTTAAATCTTTCCTAGTAGTAAAATGGAAAATTTGATGAAACATATTAAACTTTCTCGATCCAAAAGATCCCACGCCATACCTGAAATGTTCAGAACAAATCCTCATATGAGAGCTAAAGAACTGCATAATTAATACAGAGAAAATTTTCATGATTTTATGATTTCATGAAGTTTTTGATGCATAAACATGACTTTAATCCACATATAGATTGCCATGGAGAAATAGAGCTAACATTATGTAGAACAAGAATAATTACTCCACTGGAATCGATGCCCTTGTCAAACTTATTCAAGCTTGAAATTGATTCTTTGAAGTTGAAGTCATCAATTGCATCTAATTGGCCAACATCTACTATGACTTCATCAACCTTGTGGAGTATTGAAACAAACGTAGGAGACGATGGAGTGTCAGCTATTGGTTGAACCTCACGAGCCAAGATCTTTGATTCCTAAGACATTTAATTGGCTCATATTACATGCCTCTTCAACTGATTCCATCACAATAAGTTGTGGCTCCTACTTAATAACTGCTGTGGTAAACACGCTTATGTATAGTATGGTCTCAGGTTGTTGAACAAGAGGTCAAACGCTCCCGAGCCTAAGTATCTTAAGAGTAAAAGTTCAAAAGTCCCCCTCAAGATATTAAATATGCCTTTTATAGAGATCTGGAGGGAACTAGGGGTGTAAACGAGTCGAGCCGAGCTCGAGCATGGGTATGCTCGAGCTCGAGCTCGTTAAATGCAGCTATGCTCGAGCTCGAGCTCGAGCTCAATCGAGCTCGTAACTGGATGCTCGAGCTCGAGCTCGGCAATTATCGAGCTGCTCGAGCTCGAGCTCGAATTCGATCTTGAGCTCGAGTTCGAGCTTGATTTTGAGCTCGAATTCGAGCTCGAGATCAGGCTCGAGCTCGGGTTCAAATGCGTGCTCGATCTTAACCTTGAATTTGACGGTTTAACCTATTTGATTTAAAATTTAAACTGCTCTGTTTTATCCATACATAAATAATACAAACTTCAAATCAAAACACTCAAAATAATTTCGCAACGAAGTAAAAGATAGTGAAGACACAAGTCTGTTTGTTCAAACTTCAAAACATTCAAAATAAGTTTGCAAATCACAACAAAACACAAGTCAACAGTAGTAGTCCTTGATTCCTTGTACATATATATTTCGTCCCGGATATGTTCAAAACAGGAAATATTTGTTCAACTTGCAAAAAAAAAAAAAATGAATAATATTAGATAATAAATGAAATTAATTAAAAATAGTTAAACAAAGATGTTACTTTGTAACTTACTTTCATGAGTTGGATGCCGAAAGAAATATTTCTTGGAATGATTTCTCTTTCTACAAAAAAATAAAATAAAAATAAGTATACAATTAAACAAATATTTTAAAAAAAAATGTATCTTTTAGCATAAAAGTTAACTTACTTTGGTTTTGGTAACTCCATGTATATGTCTTAGCCAATCACCCCCACAAAGTAAAGCTTGGGCTGTTTCAGGCAACAATGATGCACGATACGAATCAATTACCCTTGTCCCAGCACTAAATGTTGCTTCTGAAGCCACACTGCTAACAGGTATAGCTAAAATATCTGCTGCCATTCGAGACAATATTGGATACTGCAGTCTATGCATCTTCCACCAATCTAAAGAACAAAAGTTGCTTGGAACCTCAGTAGTCTTAAGACGCGCTTTTTCTAGATAGTCTACTAACTCAGAGTTTTTAGGCCCTGAAGTTTCAACTTGGGCACAAAATCCCTCAAAATCTTCCCAAGCATATGTAGACTTTTGGCGGCTGACTTGGCTTCTAAAAGTGTTTGAAGAACTTGGATTTTCAGGATTATCTTTGTTCATTGATTCAGCAACATACTCTCCATAAAGAGTATTGATGATCTCCTTCACTTTTGCTATATTCTCCTTAGCTTCCTTATCAGAATAAAGTCTAGGGAAACAGAATTCAACTGCAAGCATTTTCTTTGTTGGATCAAAAACAGCACCTATAGCCATCAACAAATTGCACTCACCCCAATATTTATCAAACTTCTTCTTCATTCTCTTAACCAAATCCTTAATAAAGTCATCTTCATCATCTACATGACTATCCAATGTTGATTTAATTTTTTGAACTTCTTGAAGAAACAAATTTGAAGTAGGATACTCAGAACCTGAAATAAATTTGAATTCAGATAATCGCAATTCACAAGTCACAACCTTAACCAAATTAAAAAAAAAAATTAAAAGAAACAAACCTGAAATAATGTGAGTAGCTGTCCAGAAAGTCTCTAAAATTGAGCAAACTTTGACAACCTTTTCCCAATCATCTTCCAATTGTTGCACACAGTTACCAAATTGTATACGCCTTGATTCCGACCGGTTCACATATTCCACACTATTTCTAACATCACTAATGATGTTCTGAATCTCATCTAATCCATCTTGAACACACAAGTTCAATATGTGTGCACAACAGCGAACATGAAACAAACGTCCCCCACATACCAAACTTCTTGACCTTTGGAGTGTATCATTCATGTACCTAATAGCAGAATCGTTACTTGAAGCATTATCAACTGTAATTGTAAACACTTTCTTTTCAATGCCCCACTCTTTCATGCATCCAAATATAGCATCAGAAAGCTGAAGACCTCCCCTCGGTGGTGGAATGTTAATGAAGTTTAAAACTCTCTTTTGCAACCTCCAAGAAGAATCAATCCAGTGTCCAGTGACAACCATATACTCAATCTTCTGATTTTTTGATTTCCAAACAATCTGTTGTCAAACTTACTTTACTAACACTTTCAAGATTGTTCTTCAACTTCTTCTTTTCAATCTCATAAACCTGCAAACAATCTGCTTTGCATGTATTTCTACTAATTTTTTTCCACTCCGGCCATCCTTCTTTCATCAATAGGTTAAATCCTGCTTCCTCCAAAATAGTAAACGAATGCTCATGCATCATGACCCAATTAGCAGCACACTCCCTCATTCTTTCCATATTAAAATTTCCACGATGTAATGAAGGAAGGGAAGATGGAACTCCATCACTAGGCATAAAATTTAACTTTGTTTGTTGATCGGTGACCTACAAAGTACAAAGTACAAAACCAATACCATAACTATTAATAATGAATAGAATAAATTAGCTATATAAAAATTTATTTTCAAATTTAAGTACTTACCTTCAAATTTGCCTTTCTCTTAACGCATTTGTCTTGATGCCTCTTGTAGCTAGTTGTTGTGCCCGATTTAGTTAATGCAAAATGATGATGACAATGATTACATTGTACCTTCTGCACTCCATCTATGTCGACCATATGAAAATCATTCCACACACCTGAAGTCTTTTTTCTCTTGTTTGTTTGAAACTCTTGATCGTGTGTTTCTTCATTTTGTTGTGTGTCATGATCATCTGAATGTAATTCTACTCTTTCAACTCCTTCAGATTGTTCATGTGATTGATTAATAGTTTCATTGCTTTCACCAACCACATTATTTAGAGTGTGTGGATTTTGCGGGACAGATGAATTATCGGTAGACATGCCTAATGGAAAACACTAACGACATCAAGTTATCATATACCTCAATCCAACAACAACAACTAATATAAAATAAGAACTAATAAGAAACTAATATATAAAATATATTTAACTAGGCAGTATAAAACTTTGAAATAAGAACTAATAAGAAACTAATATAAAATAAGAACTAATAAGAACTAATATATTATATATTTAACAACTAATATATAAAATAAGAACTAATAAGAAACTAATATATTTAACTAGGGCACTAGGCAGTATAAAACTATGAAAAGGAACTAATATATTCAAGTAGCTTGTAAATTAATATATAAAACTATGAAAACTATGAAAAAAACTTACTGGAAATTGTGAAACAAGAAAGTGAAGAAACTAATACGGAGTATATAAAACTATGAAAAAGAACTTACGGAAATTGTGAAACAAGAAAGTGAAGAAACTAATATATATAACCATGAAAAAGAACTTACTGGAAATTGTGAAACAAGAAAGTGAAGAAACTAATATATAAAACTATGAAAAAGAACTTACGGAAATTGTGAAACAAGAAAGTGAAGAAACTAATATATAAAACTATGAAAAAGAACTTACTGGAAATTGTGAAACAAGAAAGTGAAGAAACTTCCGTACGGCAATCCCGGAGGTCTCGCGACGGCAATCCCGGAGGTCTCGCGATGGCGTTCTGGACTTCTGGAGTGGTGACTCGCGACGGCGGCAACGCTTCTCTGCAGTCGTTACTCGTGAACCGGCGGCAACTGTTGAAGTCTCTCTACCGTGGACGTGGAGGCGTGGAGTCGTGGACGAAAAGCGGAATAGACAAACTGTCAAAGTCTCTCTCGAAAGTTGAAATATGAAATCTCAAATTCTGAATGCGCTAGAATTCTAGGGCTTTTAAGTTTTGACTTTTGAGTTTTAAATTTTAATTATTATTTTTATATATTTTAATTATATAATATTATATATTATATTGTATATTATACGGCTCGCGAGCCGGCTCGACGAGCCACGAGCCTAGAGTATCTAGGCTCGGCTCGTGCTCGTTTATTTGACGAGCCGCTCGAGCTCGGCTCGAGCTCGATTTTGACCGAGCTCGAGCCGAGCGTTGACCGAGCCGCTCACGAGCGGCTCGGCTCATTTACACCCCTAGAGGGAACACATGCCAGGTATCTAGCATGTCTACCACGTGGACTCGGAGGCGATTTCAATAGATCCACGTACATGGAGGTTCTTAACACTTGTACTGTTACGACGTGATCGGGTGGCGAGGTGATTACGTTTATCCTTTACTGCCAGAGGCTTAGTGCTTGGGGTGATTTTCTCTAGTGTATGAGGTTGGGAATGCTGCCCTGGGTGCAAGGACGAGGCATAAGATTAGGTAATCTTACTCCCAAGCGTATATACCGAGCACATACACAAACAATACGATCAAGGGGTATTCCCTATCAAGTAGCCCCTACTTAGGTGGAGGTCATGGGAGGGTTTATGCAAACCAAAATCACGAGGTGGATTAGGGTTCCGGAAGCTTAGGGAGATGAACTTGGCACTACTTTGGTAAACAAGCATGGCGACTTATTATTAGTGGCGCAAATATATAAAGCCCACTACTATCCAAACTATAGTTTTTTTTTTTTTTTTTTTTAATGCAAAGCAGGGTAGTAACCCCTGGTATATTTAGAGGAGTATTATCGAGGTTCAAGGGACGATAAAGGAGGGATGCAGACGGTGTATAGGAGATGGTTGCACCACTTTGATTGGAAAAGATCCACGACTACCTGCGGAGGATGCCCCGTGTGTACAAACGTCTCTACATGAAACCATTGCTGAGGCACCAGTTTCATCTTTGTTTAATGAGAGGGGCACGAGATGGGACGTTGATTGTGTGAAGGATATTTTTGATGAACGAGATGGGCAACTCATTCTAAACATCCCCGTCAGTATGCAAAAACTGACAAATACATGAATTTCTGCCAATGATCCTAAAGGTTATTGCTCTGTTAAATGCTGTTATAGGAACCTCAGCTTGTTGGCGAGGCATGGGGAGATCGTCCATGGTTTAAAATCCGGGGGTTATAGATTCCACCAAAGATAAAATCATTTTGTTGGAAAATGGCGTGGTCTTTTCTCCATGTATAATACACTATATTTTTGGCCTGTTTGGTAAAATAATGAGCCTATCAACCAATTTTGTCTTATTTAATCACTATTATCTGATTATTTAAATTATTTAAATTATATGGTTAAAAACTTAAAAATAATATAAAGGAAAGAGATTTTTTTGTTCACTTTTGACTGGCGACTATCGTATCTTTTTAAATTTGTTTCATAAACAACATTTTATTTTTTATATTTGCGCATGACTATCAAAACATTGCCACATTTTGTCATTCTAATCAAATTTTTTAGCTAATTCTATCTAATTTTTATAAACACAAAACTAAATATTCAACTAATAGTGTACATACTACTCAAATTTAAATAATAACATTTTCATTTCAAGTAATTAACATGGATGTCGTGTGGGAGATTCTAGTTAAAGTAGGTTTGAAAATTAATCTGATAGATCAAATGTTGCAAAATTTTAATAATTATATATGCATTAAATATGAAAAAGACAAATTAATAGTTAGAAATCAAAACGCAACAGTGCAGGTAGAATTGAAAAATGTGTCCTTCCCCAGGGACGGAGCCAGAAAACTTGAGTTGGGGGCCGATGTAGTAGAGAAAATTTACAATGTTAACCGACATTATAATTAATCGTACCATATTATTATATATACCATACATTATTGTGATTATTATTGATAATAATTTCTAATTATATTATGTGTAATAAAGTATGAAATACATAATTATATGAGTACGATCGACACATGTGCCGATCATTACTTTATAAATTTTTCACATAACACAAAATATAATAATAACAATAGCAACAACATTTATTAAATATATATTCTCTTAACATCAAATAAAAAGTTTTGTCAATTATTTTGTCACCAATTTTTTTCATAATTAACTGATATTCATTTCACTGATTAACTGAATATTTCAAAATTTGAGAGATAAAAGACAAAAACCAAGACGAATTAAACATTCAATATTAATTTTTGTCAATTTCAAAACTAATCATTTAAAGTTTTAAACTAGCAAATGTACATCTTAAAAATGTAAATAAATAATAAAAACACACAATAAATCACTAATTAATTAATCAACATAACTAATAAAATCAAAGCATATATCTCTGATTTGGAGATTTTTTAAAATTAAAATGTATACTTGATTCTCTTCATTATTAAAATCTTGATAAAAGAAATAAGATAATAAAGAAAAATTTTAATTTTAATTATATGATTTATTTTTTTATTTAATGAAAAATAGTGAACTTTAATATATATTTTGAGTTCATTTAATATAAACATAATAGATTGTTTTATTTAAAAAAAAAAATAGAGGGGGGCCAAAAGTATATTTTATCTCTACTATATCAATATATACATATCCCTCCCCTCCTATGTGAGGTGGGGTCCAAGCAGTGGCGGACCCAGAAATTTTTTCCAGTGGGGGCGAAATGCATTAAAACAAAAGAGATAGTTTAATAAACGAAACGCATTAAAACAAAAGAGATAGTTTGATAAAAAATAAAACACTTAAAATATAGTCACAAATATTATTGGATGTGGACGAAAAATAAACCACATCAAAACTTTATAAAAAAATATTCATAACAAAATATGAAACATAATTAATTTGATAAAATAATTCGAATAAAAAATACATTATAAACACATCTCATTATTAATATAAAATAAAGTTATATATATGTGTGTAAAGGTTATATATATTTATGTGCAAATCTCACAATTAATTAATATGAAGTATAAAAGTCATAAAAAGTTTTATATATATATATATATATATATATATGCAAATCTCACAATTAATTAATATGAAGTATAAAAGTCATAAAAATAAAACATGCAACTCTCACAATTAATTAATATGAAGTATAAAAGTCATAAAAATAAAACATGCAACAACACTTTGCAGCCTAAGTCACCGACGTAAAATCTGCACAACAGAAGGAATCGAACCCAGGCCTCCTTAATAGACAGAACACACGCCCAGCCACCTGATCTAGTCACCTTTTGTTAACTTTTATCTATTTTATTGTACTTATACTAAAACTTGTACTATATATACATATAAGGGTTATATATGGGGTGGGGGTGGGGTGAGTGGGGGCAGCTGCCCCCATGCTGGGTCCGCCTCTGGGTCCAAGCAACACGTGGACCAATAAACCGTAATCGCTTACGAGTGGCGCTGGGATTCGAACCCATGACTTTCAATCTGGCTTTGATACCAAATTGAAACATGTGCTCCATCTCAACTAAAAGCCTAAGCTTGTAGTTGGATTGCACAGTAATGGCTATATGCTCACAGGTAGTGCCTCACTCTGCAGGTTTGAATCTTATGGAAGGAGTGGCAAAATTTTTTGTAGATGCTGCAGTTTTCGAAGGGGATCACCGAGCTTGTTTTGGGTGTGTGGCGTTTGATAATAATGGTATTTATATTGGGGCAAAAAATGGCCACATCCGATGCGTTAAAGATGTATTGTTTACGGAGGTGATCGCTATCCAAGAAGCTATGTCTTGGGTAAAAGAGATTGGTATCACTAAAGTTGCGTTTTATCTGATTGTCAGGTGGCCTGTAATATCCTTAACGGCTCAGGTGCAAATCTTTCATATGCGGGATATGTGATTGAAGCTTGTAAGGGGTTTCGTAGACACTTTGAAGTAGTGTCTTTTAATTATGTTCCTAGATCAGAGAATAGGTGTGCTCATGCAGTAGCTAGAGTGGCCTCTTCACAACATGGTCCTCTGTTTGGATTTCTACAATTCATGCTTGTATTGAATGATTTATTTAATAAAAGTTCATACTTACTTTTCAAAAAAAAAAATTAGGAGATCAAAAGTGAAAATAGTTTTCAAAAGTAAAAAGTATACAAA